GGGTCTTTTAAGACGTTCAATGGAAGGGGAAGACAGGGCGACAATAGGTAAGATTGATTATGCCCCAATGAGGTTCACATAGACTGCCTCATTCAAAGTTCACAACAATGCCGTGGGGTAGGAAATTCATCCTCTCTCGATTACTCCTCCCCTTCCCCCGCCATTTTATTGATGATACACAGAGGACCACGTGGGATAAATGTTGCTACCCAGCTAGATGTCCTCAAGGAAAAACTCATGGAAGTTAAGGAAACTTTCCAAAGTAGGTGTGATTTCATCTGGGCTCTTAACTATGAACAACCTGTGCAGAGACCTGGGCTCATGGGAAAGCATGGTTTCTCTAAAGAATGACACAAGATTCAGGTTGGCCCTGCTGAGTGTGTGGCAGAGTCAGCTGCTTTGAAGGGGCGCAAGCCCATCTCTCAATCTTGGTGATGGGTAAAATCATGTCACTGGACCCATCAGTTCCACTCACAGAAAAGCAGCATTTCCTGGTGGCTTGGTAATGAGGCTCAACTCTCTTAAACAGGCTCCGCACATACAGCTGTGCAGGTTGTGCCCTACACAATAACAGCCTCACCAGAGCGGCAATGTTCACACAATATACACCATACATATGTATGTTCATGATGACTATTTCCTGGAAGGGCTAGTAGAGTGTCTTGTTCTAACAAAATCTGTATTTTATAACAGTGTTCTAACAAATAGAAGTAAAGTATCTTGAGGGAAAGTCCCATTTCCTAATTCACACAACTTGGACCCATGGGCTAGGGGTGGTATCCTAGCTCTTATCTCTTCTCCCTCTTGAACTGTAATGAAACCTAGATTCCAAGCACTGTGATTGTGCTTGGCTTTTTCATGGCTTAGATGCATTCTGTCAAACTTGCTTCAAGTAACACTTTCTCTTTTCTCCTATCCCATGTGATTCCATCTTTCCTTCCTAGCCCATCTCTGTCCCCCTAGATCTGGTTCTACCAAAAACTTCTTCTAACTCACAACAGGTCACTTTTACTGGTTCATCTCATTTTTCCAAAATTCAAATACAGCTCTGGGATTGTCCACTGAAGAAACCCCAGAATCCTGTGGTCCAAGAAGACAAGAGGCCTCCAACCAGAAACTGTGTAGAGAGCCTCCCTTTTCTGCCATATCTCTCTGGAATGGCTCCAGAAGACTCCTGAACATCAATTCTTAAAATGATTAACTTATATATTGCTCACAGAAATATAAATCACTCTGAGTCATACTTGGCTCCAGCTCCTTCAAAAGTCAGCCAGAGGGTCAATGCAGACTCTAATTAAATTGCCACCTGTAGCAAGTACCTCTACAAAATTAACTCTAAAGTAGCACGTAGTTTCACCCTCAAAACAGTTCTCACTCTGTTCTATAAGGAACTTCATGGAAAACCTGGAAAAAACGTTGTGCAAAAAAAAGATACAAATCTAATTCAGGAATGTGGCTACCTCTGCGGGAAGCTGGGGGGGGGGGGGGGAGCAAAGCAGGAGCAAGAGCAGGAAGTGGGCTGTTCTCTATACCACTGTATTTCTTTTGAACAAAATCTCAAACGAGAATGGTGAAATGTTAACATGTGTTGAATGTGTGTGGTGAGTAGAGGATATCTGTTATGTCATCTCCTGTTCTTTGAATGCTTGAAATATTCCATAATTTACATTTTAAAATGTAAAAAGGACATTTTTATGCACTTTGACAAAGACTATATCCTAATTATTTATGAGAGAAGCTTTAGGGCATTCTATGGTGAACCCAAAGTAATTGTTCTGTCCCCCTAGGTCCGGATCTAGCAGAAACTGGTGGACCTGGACTCCGAGGTAAAGTGACCATGAATAACGCTTCTGCTGAGCCTTGAAGGCAAAGGGCTGTGCGAGGCTGGGCAGCACACGGTGGGCCCACCGGGCGGGTGCGGCCCTCCATCCCAGCTTCTGCTTTCCACATCCCACCGGGTCCTTAAAGACTTCACCAGTCTCAGCCTGGAGCCTTCTGGAGAGGAGGCATCATTCAATGATGTATCCATTCTGCCACCTAGCCTTCATCCTGGTCACTACAACAACGCTGCCTCGAACACCTCTCCATCTTCCTTCTCCAAGGAAGAGGTGGCAGAGAGGCATCAGTGGGAAGCAGAGAGTTGAGAAGCAACTGGCCATGCAGGGGGCAGTGAACCTTGCCCCTCACATGTGCATCTGGCAGGAACAAATGAGCCCCTTCCAGTGGAGTTCATCGACGCAAACTATTTTTCCCAGAAGCAGTCTTCCAAAGGTGACTGTGAACAGATCCAGGTCTTCAGAATGGAGGGCAGGGGGGATGAAATCAAGAAAGGCTCGTGGGCATTGCCCAAACCCAACGTCCCGTAACAGAACCTCCCGTTCCACTGTCACACATTAACTATGGACTTGTAAAAGCAAAGCCCTCTGACCAGGATCCCTACCTCTGGACAAAATTACTTCAGACAATCCCAGGCTGCTAGGAGCCTACCCGAGGGTCCCCTGCACAGCAGCTCATGTCCCATCCGCTCTCACCCCTCCTGACTAAGCCCACGTCAGAGTCCGGACACGGCTGGCGTGGGCACTTACCATTCACATGTTTGCAGGGTCCCCTCTCTCCAGGGCTCCCTCTGCCGCCCTACCCCAAGGACCAGCTCCTGCCACAACTCTTCTGTCTCCCTACCCTTGTGGTCTTCCCCCATGAATCATCCCCTCTTCCTTTCACCTGTCCTCACACATCTTATTTTCCAGCCACTGGAAGTCGGCTAGACAAAAAGCCATGTCACTGAAGGCCATCTCTCTCTGAATAGAGAGAGGGTGGTTGGAACCAGGCAACTCGTGTTTCTCTGGAAGGAGCACCACAATTTCCCCATTCATCCTAAAGGCTACCAGCGCCTGGGGTCGGCCTTGCTGCCTGCTGAGTGGGTGCAGAAGCAGGGGCAGGGGGTGGAACACACAGCGCACTGTTTGGCCGCTCTGCTAGCCCGAACTTGACACAAAAAAAGAAAATAACACATGACCACCCTCACTCCTCAAATATTTCAGCCAAATGTTTCCCTCCTGACTTACCGAGCACCCAGACAGAGGGGAGAGGAAAGGATGAAAAGCCTCCATGGTTTTCTTTTTCTTTTCTTTTTTTCTTTTCTTTTTTAATCATTACACACAGACCCTCCTCCTTCTCCCAGCCCACGTCTAAGACCCCTCTGGCAATACAAGCAAAAGCAGGCCTTTAAACGTTAGCCTCATTTTTTAAGCTGTGCCTTTAGGCAAGTATAGTGAGAAGAGAGATCAGAATCTGGGAGTGTTCACAGCACAGAGAGACTTGCTCCTGACCCAAACCAGCAAGAAAAATATTTTCCTAAAAGCAGTCCTGCAGGAAGAGTTCTTATCGTAGATGAGAGCGCAGTCTAGTGGCAAACTTCATGCAATGCAGCCCCTTCTAGGGGAAAGGCACTTCCAGAGGAACAAGGGAAATGTAAGAAGCAGCACTCCACCCCAGCTTCTCCCCAGTGGGCAGCAAGCCGGTCATTTCCTTTGACCTGGCAGTGAGGGCCCTAACCTGTCCGTGTCAGTTTCAGGGGGGAAAAATAAAATGGCCACGTTCCTTCTTTGAAAACTTGAGCTTTCTCTCATTTTACAAAGGAGAGAAGGAGTCCCCGGTGTCTGAATAGATTATATGGTGTTTCAAAGGGGATAATGATGTTCCTGGTCAGAATCTCTCCGGAGTCAGTCCTGCGGCCTGTCAGCTCCTATTCTTGGGACGTTCCTGTGTGTGCGAGTTAGCCAGAGAACAGGGTGTCTCGGGACTGTCCCCCAGCCCCTCCGGAGAGGTGGCCCTGCGCCATAGACGTGCCCCTTGAAAGAGAGGTGGAGGGAATGCATTATTCCAATCGGCCTTCCATCTAAAAGTCCCGCCCAGGACACTTCGGATCACCAGGCAAGATTTTCAGACTGTTTCCCCCACGTGCCAATCTCTGTAACTCACTGCTGTGCACTGGCTGCCCCTGCATGCTCACCACACACACGCACACACACACACACACACACACACAAACACACACTCACACACACACACTCATACACACACACACTCATACACACACACACTCATAAACACACACTCATACACACACACATATACACACTCACACTCACACACACATACACACACACTCATACACACACACTCACACACACACACTCACACACACACTCATACACACATACATGCTCATACACACACACTCACACACACACCTCTTCCCTGGGCCAACAATGCAGCAGAAGGGAAGGGGCCACGTCGTGCTTGGCCATATGGCCGAAGACAATCACTCCACCAACAACAGAAACTCTGGATTCCATTCCCCTTCCCCAGGCTTTTAGGGGAGAAATCCAGTTTTTCTTCTTTTCTTTTTTTTTTTCTTTTTAATCCAGGTCACCACCCATCACTGGCCATCCTATATTAATACCCCCAACACACACACACACATTCATGCACACACCTTACATGGTAACTTAGACACCAGCAAACTTAGACACTAGCAGGCAGCCATTTACCAAAGCTGGGGAAGAACTTCTTGGGCACCGAGTATATCCAGTTGGCTAATAAAAATTAAAAAAAAAAAAAATTCTCCTCGGGCCTGGGCCTCGGCTCGTTAAGGGGCGGGAGGCGAGGGGAGACTGAGTGACTCCTCATTGTGTCCACCTTGCACAGAACTCTCATCCCCACGACCCCCCCCCCCCCACTCCTCCCTCCCACAGCCCCTGCCTGGTCCCGGCGCCCCTTTCTCACATCCGGGGGGAGGGGGGGAGGAGGGTGCTGTGCGTGCAGGGAAGGGAGCCCCTGTGTGTCTGGAAGGCCCGTCCCCACCCCCACCCCGTGTGAGCTCGCCCCGCACCGCGCTCTGGCATCCTCGCCGGGCTGGGTGTTGGGAGCTCAAATTGCAGCTACGAGCTGGCTGGCAGCCAGGGCCGCGCGTTTAAAAGCGCCCGCTCCCCCGGAGCCGGAGTCTCTGTGGAAACTTCTGCGGGGTGAAGAGCTGGGGAAAGCTGCCCGGCAGTGCGGGCTTTCTCCTCCTTTTTGCTCCTTCTCGGTCCCCTCTCCTCCGCTTGCACCCTTCTCCGGGATTCGCGCCCAGGCTGCGAATTTCGAAGAGGTGGTTGCAAAATAGGGAGAAAAGAGGGGTTAGGGGTTTTTTTCCTCTTTCTTTTCCTTTCTTTTTTCTTTCTTTTTTTTTTCTTGATTTCAATATTTTCCCCTGCCCTTGCGGCTGCAATCGCCACCTTCTCCGCTGAAGGAGCAGAGTGCGCTTTAGATTTTAAACCACATTTTTTGAAGACGAACCTCTTTTTCTCCACCCCACCCCGTCTCCCCCGCAGCCTCCGAGCTCCTTACTTCGGTGGTTGCTCTGGGGCGAACAGTTTTTGGCTTTCCCCCCTGCAGTCGGCTCCGGAGCCGCTGGTCCGGTGCGCGCACCTGGCGCCGCTCTCTCGCCCCCAACCTGTTGCAGGTCTTGAGTCCCTGTGATTGGGACTTGCGCGCGGGCACCCCGGCCTTCTCCCTCTCTCCACACTCTGCCATTGTCTGGGGGAGGGCACCTGCTCTACCTGCCCGGATTTTTTAGGTTTCCTCCTCCCAGCCCCGCTCTCCCCGCGCCCTCGCTCTCCGCCCCGCCCGAGGCGAAGGGAGGCTTGAAGATGATGTTCCCCGCGGTGCTCCTGCTGCTGGCCCTCGCTGGGCCGGCCCGGGGCCTGGGCTCCCTGGTGCACTGCGAGCCGTGCGACGAGAAGGCCCTGTCCATGTGCCCGCCCAGCCCGCTGGGCTGCGAGCTGGTCAAGGAGCCGGGCTGCGGCTGCTGCATGACGTGCGCGCTGGCCGAGGCGCAGGCGTGCGGCGTGTACACGGAGCGCTGCGCGCAGGGCCTGCGCTGCCTGCCGCGCCAGGACGAGGAGAAGCCGCTGCACGCGCTGCTGCACGGCCGCGGCGTCTGCATGAACGAGAAGACCTACCGCGAGCAAGTCCGGGCCGGTGAGCGCGCTCGGGTGCCGGCCAGACACCCGGTGCACGAGCGGGGAGCGGGGAGCGGGGACGGGGACCGGCTGTGCCCGGAGAGTGGCTCAGAGCCGGGGCGCAGCCCGGGGGGAGCGCGGGGGACGGGGGGGGGGGGTCTCTGCACCCAGGAATCGGAGCCCTGGCTGACCCAGCGACCCCAGGCTGCCGTCCATCCCAGCCCCAGGCGGTCTTCGCTCTGGCTCCACACTCTGCACCCACCCTGATCCCCCCACCCTGCTCCCCACACCCCACCCCCTCGCCCGAACACTGACTCTGAGCTCCCCTCACGTCCCAAGGTCCAAATCCCCAGGTGCTGAGTCTCCAGGCTGAGCGAGTATATGTATTTCATTGCCAACTCCCTCCTCCGCCACCTGCTAGCCACCCCACACGTTCTGGGGCTTTTTTTCTGAACTTGGGGGAAAAAATCTCTTTGTTAACATAGTGCCTTCACGGAGGACCTGGGAAGAAAGGCGTCCTGGGCTCACTCTACCTTTGTCCTTCCCTCAGCCCCTGCCCCCCTGTCAGCCCCTTTGGACGTGTCTATCCTGCTGCCCCGAGACACACACACACACACACACACACACACACACGCACGCACACGCGCACACACGCGCGCGCGCGCACACACACTGGCACCGTGTGTAGTTCATGCCTTTGGGGTGAGGACTGGGATGCCCCTCCCATGGGCACACCCAGGACTTTTGACTCGCAGTGATTGATCGCGATCGCTGGTAAATAGGTTAAAATGTAAAATACCTTTTTTCCTCCCTGGAAAGGTAAGCTTACTGTGGGCGCGCACGGCGGAGGCGGGAGGTCAGAGGGCTAGCGGCGGGGGGTGGGGTGGGACTGGGGGGCGGGAGGAGCAAGAAGCAACGGGGTGATGTTCCTGTGCTGGATGTTCGCCCCGAAATCCAGTTACTTTTCCCGGCCCTGAGTTACCTGGGACGAAAGGGGGAGCTGGGAGGCAAGAGGGGGTGTGAGACAGAACTCCTAACTTCTCTGCCAGTCCCAGTCCCCTCCGCCCCATCCCCCTCAGACTGGATCCCAAGTGGGTGTGGTGTGAATATGAGAGGGGCCCTGGGATCTCTGAATGCCAAATGAAGAGGGCGGAGTCTGGGGCGGCCCCGCCCTGCTGCTCCCCTCCGCCTCCAAGGAGCCCCGCCCCCCCCACTGCCCTGCCCCCCGAGTTCTTACCCCCCACCCACCCCCCCACCCCCCCACCCACCCAGTCCAGAATCTAAAAGGCTGACTAAGCTACTTGTTTAATGAGGACAGTTCTGCTCCCTTGAGATCGGAGTTTCTTTATGAAAAAGGTACCTGATCTTAAGTTTTTTAAACTATTTTCATGAGCTGTACACAAAAACCTGCATTCTGAGACGTCACACTGGTTATTGATTCTCTCCAAAAGGGGTTAAGATTCGGCTAAACAATGCTCATTCTGCGTCGTTACTTCCTGGGACAGTGCCCTTCTCCCCTCCTCTCCCCTTCCCCTGGGAGCACCCCAGCACGAGTTTTCTTAAACTGCCAAGTACAGACTCTGTCACGTAGGGGAGAAGAGCATAGGTGCTTGGGAAGAGGCAGGGAGTTTTCCCAGGTTCAGCCTGCATCTCCCAAACCCCGCAGGCTCTGCCCTAAGGCAGCCGCCTCTCTGGCCTGGCTAAAGGCAGTCTCACTCCCACTGCTGCCTGCAGAAAAGAGAGGGAGGCAACGGGCAGACCCGGACGCCCCGCGGGCCAGTGTGTGGAGATATTTTTATTAAGAACCGTTTTTAAAAAGCGGCCATTCCGAGGGATATAGATTTTTTAAATGCTTGGGGTGGAGGAGAGATGGGTGAGAGATAGGAATCTGTTTCCTGGCTTGGCAGGGAGGCTCTGCTTAACAGCCTGGCGAACATGGAGAGTGTGCCAGGTACCACCCAGCCCCGCTCTGCCCCGCTTTTATGTGTCCAGCCGTGCTGGTGGAGTGATGTGGGAGGGGCAGGCGCGCAACTGCTGAGACAGCAAACAGGAGCATCCAACTTTCCAGTTCAACCCGCCACACACACACACACACACACACACACACACACTCACACACACACTCACACACACACACTCACACACACTCACACACACTCACACACACTCACACACACACACACTCACACACACTCACACACACTCACACACACACACACTCAGACACATTCACACTCTCATACACACACTCAGACACACACTCACACACACACACTCACACACTCTCACACACACATACACGCACACATACACACACACACACAGTTCAACTCATCACACACACACAGACACACACAGACACACAGACACACACAGAGTTCAATCCACCACACACACACACACTCACACGCACACATACATACACACACATACACACACTCACACACACACACACACACACACACACACACACAGGATGGGGAGGAAAGGAGGCCAGCTTTTGTCCCAAGCAAGATGCCCGTTAGATTCTCTGCATCCCTTTCCTCAACTCCTACCTTCAAGGTAGCTCTGGGCCAATGCTAGCCGCCTCTCCGCCCTCTCCCCCCTAACCCCCCCCCCCCCCAGCGTGTCTCAGGGACTCTGCCCGCCTGAGGCAGGTGCCTAATGGATTGTGAGGGGGGGGGGGCACAGGACGGATGGAATGGGAGTGGGCACTCCCCGCTATAGCTTTTCAGCTCCTAAACCGTTGGGCTGATTCCCCCAAAAGTTGGAGCCACACAGAGGCGCTTCTTAAGGAGTGGGAAGTGAACAGAGAGACGGGGAAAAGTGGCCGTTCCTTTGAGCAGAATTCCCGTTCCCCAGCACACACTAGGACATCCCCACCCCTAAACCATCAGTGTCAACCTGGGTGCGCCCCTCCCTTCCGCGGTTTCCAGATAAATGTAAATAAAGGTACCAAACACACACACACACACACACACACACACACACACACACCAAAAACATAGATGCCTATGGAGAGACAAATCTATACCTTTTTTCAATCTCTCCCAAAGAAGGAGTCTTTGAATTAGAAATGGGGAGCTGAGGAGGGCGAACTGGCCGGCGGCCAGAGCTCCTGGGAGGAGGAGGGAGGGCGGAAGGCAGGGGGGTGGGGTGCGAGGGCTGCTGAGAACCAGTGTTTGCTGGGCACGTTGCTGTGCAACCGAGAGGGAGTGGGCCCCAGAGCCAGGGCTGGGAGCGCGCGGGGCCCTGCATCTTATTTCGTCCAATTGGAGGGGCAAAGACACATATAGAGACACATGGCAGAGTGTCTGCGGGCGGAGGGAGGCGGGAGATGAGTTATTTGTTGGGGGGGGCGGGGCGAGCTCAGTAATATCGGTGAGCTGGGTGGAGTGGAGGAAGGCCAGGCTTTGCTGGCATTGTTTGCAGGACTCTGTGGCTCTGTGGGTGGAGGGGGCAGAGGGAGGGGGATGCTGCACGCATCTCTGCCTGGTCTGGGGGACCTCTGTGCCAGGGAGACTTACATTGGGGGTGCAGGAAGAACCTGACTCTGGGTTTCAGTACCGTCATTGAGAAGTAAGAAAATATGCTTCTGGAGGAAAAAGAAAAAAAAAAAACTCAATAAAAATGAATTAAGCCTTTGCTTCTTTTAGAGGTTTGGCCTGCGTCACCCCAGCTTCCACTCCACACCCGGTCCCAATGCCATGCTGGAGTCCAGTGCCAGAGTTAGGTTTCGTGGCCAAACTTGTGTCTGGGCTGAACCAGATCATGGAAAACTGAAGGAGGCAGATTCCTTTCCCACCCGCACCGCCTCCCTTTGAAGCAAGTCTCTGAGAGGCTGGCTGTGCCCTGTGCCAAGGAAAACGGGGCTGGGGAGAGAGGAGATGCTGCTTTTAACTTTACTTTTCTTACCTTCCCCCACCCCACCCCACCCCTCTCTGCTGGCGAGAAGAGCGAGCACCCTTGGCCACATTTTCTTTCCCTCTCCATCTTCCCTGCCACTTCCTTCCCTCCCACTCCTCCCTCCCATTCTCCATCCCCCCGATGGCCAAGGCATCCCCTCACGCAGAGGTCTGCAAACTCATTAGTCAGCAGAGCCAAATATCAACAGGACAGCGATTGAAATTTCTTTTGAGAGCCACATTTTTTTTTAACTTAAACTATATAGGTAGGTACATTGTTATTAATTAGGGTACGTGGTATCTTGTGGAAGAGCCACACTCAAGGGGCCAAAGAGCCGCATGTGGCTCGGGAGCCTTGGTTTGCCTACCACTGCCCTAAGGGCTTGCGTATTAAGTCAGCAGCTGTGAGTTAGTCCCAGGGCTTGGGCTGGGTTTGAATGGGCAAGTGGGCTTGTAGCTGTAGGGAGCCAGAGGTTAGTGGGCGGTTACGGCAAAGGGCATGGGGGTAGGAATCCCACCAGGAGCCCTGGTGCCTTTCATAGGGGAGGGAGGAGCTACGGAGAAGAAAAGGTGATTCTTGTCTAAAGATTTTACTTTGTCCCTGAGCAATGCCTTTGAAACTTCGAGTTATTTAATGTGTGAGAAATAAAACTTTAAAGAAGGAGCACCGTATGCCAGGCCCAGTGCGTCCAGAAGCCGGAAAAACACCATAAAGGGTCCAGGCACCAAGGAGGAGCCAACCAGGAGAAGGAATGGCGGTGGTAAGAGACAAGGAGGCAATCTGAAGGGGTTTTGTTGGAATCTTTGTTTTGCAGTTTTACTATAGTTGGTCCAAAAGTTGCAGATACCCAGACATCATCCTTAAATTTGCCAGCTGTATGTGTATTCCAAGACAACGATTAATTCGATACGTGAGAAAATAAATAAGTAAATAAACAAGGAAGCCAGTCCTAAGTGTCTACTCCACTTTCCCCTATAGCCGGGGATTCCCCCACAATTTTTTTTAAGTTCCATTTTTCCCATGATTTCTGTTACAATGTCCTCTCTCTCTCTCTCTCTCTCAATATAAATCCAACGGAGTGAGTGGAAATCTCTATATGGGGCAAAGTGCCCT